GTTCACCTACGTCTGTGTTGAAACGTGATGGTTTTAGAGTGGACATATATGTCCCTCCTCATCAACCCTCACTTCAGAGTAAAATAAAATTCAAAATACATCAGGCAGACATCATTTCACATTTTCGAATTCTGTTGTTTTTGTTTTTCTGTGAAATCATCCACTGTCATTTAAGGCAAAGCAAAATTACTGAAAGTGACCTCTGAAAATTAGGTACATCGTAAATCTCACTATTTTTGATACATTACTAAATCTAAATACTAATTATTTTCTGTATGTTTAGAAATATACATGTGAAACATCACCGATAAGCCTGGAATCATAGTGGAATGTTTTGGAAAATATGCAAACACGAATGCTGAAGTTTACTTTTCGCCATATTGGATATAGTGTTTACAAAATCACATTTCATGTATGCAGGTTAATATATATTTCGAACTCAACTGTGATAATACATCCTTGAATTCCTCATACATAAACGTGCATGTTAGATTCAAATGACAAATGTTGCCACCAGTGCAAATTATCTAAATGAAATCAAGCGAAATAAATTAGGTGTGTAAACAAACGCTGTGCTCGGCAAACTGTACTTTTTTTAAATGTAAACACTGTAGCATTCTCTCCTACTTTGAGAGATCCATTTGTCTAATTGTTGCATATATTGGTTCACATGTTTGAGAATATTCTTGGGAAGAGCATTGTAGCACGAATTATGGAATAATAAGTATATAGACATTACAATGATTAGGTAAATTCAACAGAAATCGTAAAAGTTTCTGTCCCCTGTGATGCCATGACTGACACAAAATCACACTCAACTGCTATAATAGTTGTCTGCATTTCCCAACTTATTCTGTTTGTTACATTGGAAAACATAAAAACAAATAATGATACGCAGATTGACAAATTGTTTCTGATTACTTAGTGTTGGAAACAAGAGTAGAGACACTGACTATAAAAGACCGTACAAAATTCATCAGTTCATTACAAATTTTCTGACGTGAACGGAGATCGAAAAATGCCAAGATAAACTGCAGCTGACCGAAATATTGCCATTGGACGTTTGGAAGCAGGGGAGTCCCAGTCTGCCGTTGCAAGACACTTCAACGTTCACCAAAGTACCATATCTCGACTATGGGATCGATATACCCGCACTAATTCGACTCAAGATCATCCCAGAAGTGGAAGACCAAGAGTGACCCACGAAAAAATCTGATGACTTATGCAATCTGTGCCAAGGAGGTGTCGAGCAGTGACGGCTGCAAGAGGTGGTGTGACCAGGTACTGACCATGACGCCCCCTTGTGGCTGCACATGTGCAATGACTGAACTGAATTAATGCTGTCAAAGACGACAATGCTTTTGTCGATCACTGTGTCTAATTTCATTTGATTGTGTTCACACATATTCTGTGTAGATACTTTTACTTCCGCTTAATAAATATCCTTATTTTTTAACTCTGCGTATCTTTTTTTGAAGAGTGTATGTCAACATATGCTTTTGCAATGGAAATAACTTGAGTGCTCAAAAACTTAACGGTGACTGGTCAAATTGTTCCCAAAGTAAAAAGTATCCGACAATAATCCAAAATGCTACCACATAACCCTGGCTATGGTTATTACTATTTCAAATATATTGATAGTAACACATGCAATTAAAAATACCTGATAAAAGTATATATTATTCTGGTGAAGTAATAGTTTAAGATACTATTTTCTTTGATCATTGCATCAAAATTCTTTTCCATTGTATTATTGGGTATGTTTTAACTGACTGGTACAATGTGAGTGAGTGAGTTAAAATTTAACCTTGCATCTGCATTATTTCAGCCATATAGCGACAGGTACAAAAAACCCTAAGCTACCTGCTTAGTTCATGAGACAAATACACATAGTAATCTTTATCTCGGCATATAATATAATGCCTAGAAATACAATTGAAATGATAAATCATCATGTTTAGTGATGTTTAATCACAAATTTCACATTTGCATTGACAGAGTTTGTTGTTGGTTGACCTGAAGCAATACGATGTAACAAGCAGAAAAATAATTTGATGAAAATGTAACCCTTTCTACAGAATCTTTTTTTGGTCCTCAAAATTCAGCTGAGTCATTTTTGGTAGTTCCATTAAGCAAGTGTTGTTGGCATGGTATAGAGACTTTGTAATTGTGACATTACCTAAATTTCCAATTGGTAATATTGTTGCATGTGACTGGATGATGTTGAAGGTCAAGGTCACTCTGTGCAGTAGATGTCCCATAAAGCAAGTGTACGCAATTGCATTGAAAAGTGGAATTTGATTAATCTTGATAAACATAATCTCTAAGAAGTTCAAGGCTGTGATTGAAGGTCAAGGTCATTAAACTGGAAGTCATAGAAGGTGAGGTGAAATGGGTTTTAATTGGGCGTGTGTGAGGTCAACTGATGGTTGTAGATAAATGTATCCCCAGTATTTAAGCAGAAAATATTTCATTGGCAATAACTTTTGTGGATGTCTTTGTTGACATTTTAGACCATTGACTACAGTGCTGTGGAACCTTTCTATAGCCATTTTTGATTTCCAACAGAGTAGCCTTGAACAAACTACAACACAAGGTGACAATTTCACCCACCAAGTTTCAGGGCTCTGGGCCTAGATTTTTTAAATGGTCTTAGCCCTAAAATTATCTCAAAGTAATCGTAGGGAATTTTTAGACTGGCATAGCATAATTTCAAAACAATCTTAGCCCTAAGATTTCGTAAGAATGTCGTAAATCTAAGATAGCTGCATACCTGTCGTAAGTTTATTTTATTTTCATCAAAGAAGGCAGCATACTTTGCCCTGGATATTTTTCAAAAATCTGCTTTACGTTCAAACATTGACATTTCATTTTGTTAAACTGTAATTCAAGTTGACATTTCGAAAAAACACAAAAAATGCATCAGAGATTTTGTGTCAGAAATAAATCAGGATAAAAATGAAAGGTGTCGGCAGGCTGTAGTAATGACCGTGACCTTATTGATAACTCGGGGCAGCTAATCTTAGTCCATACTCTAGTTTAGAGGTGTTTTTGCCCATCAAAATGCCATTTTATCTTCTGGATCACATCTGTGTCAATGCTTTATTTTCGCATTTCATAAAATTATATCAGTCAACATTAATGATGAAGTGCAAAATCATAAGCGCTTCTCATAAAGATTTTACGTTTAAAATCTTGTTGGACAAGCAGTTTTAACCATTGAATTTATTGATTTAACAAGGAAATAAATATGATAAGATAACTGTATAATATATTTGTATAAAGAGTATAATTCTTACGAAACTTCTACCTCTATTACATCTCTGCCATAAGTCCTGTATTTTGTCTTCAGTCACATAACCTAAAATTTTCAGAACCATCCCATTCTAAACAGACAAATGAGATCCTTTCTACTAGAAGATGTTCAAACACCTCGTATCTTCCCCAAGTGGAATCTATCTGTGGTACTATCGGTATTGTTAACAGAACCCTACTCGAAAAAAACCCAGGAAAGCGTCTTTTCTCCTAGCCATGGCAACATCAACAAGAGTTTCAGAAGTGCATGCCTTAGACTATTCTAATCTCACCCATGATCAACATTGGACCTCAGTAGCTCTAAAATCCAATAGGGGCGGTCGGGTAGCCTAGTGGTTAAAGCATTTGCTTGTCACGCCGAAGACCCGGGTTTGATTCCCGACATGGGTACAATGTGTGAAGCCCATTTCTGGTGTCCCCCGCCGTGATATTGCTGGAATATTGCTAAAAGCGGCGTAAAACCATATTCACTCACACACTCACTAAAATCCAATACCAGCAGCATCAGAGCACCCTTGAATATTCTGTCTATTAGGTTTAGGATGGATTAGAAGTACCTTGAATATCAATTGTCTCCATTAGTCCGGAAGGACGTCAGCACTGGAAATAGCAGAACAGGGTTCACCTTATCAGGAAATGACGTCTTTGGGTAGAAATAGATGTAGAGAGACGTCATTACCTAGAAAAGGGGAAGTGACATACTGGAGTGAGTGAGTGAGTTGGGTTTAACGCTGCTTTTTTAACATTATTCCAGTTATATCACGGCATGTCCGCTTAATATGGGAGGAAAGCCCGAAGTGATGCAGGTCTCAGACGTTTACCACTTTGGTGAAACCCACGAGCACGGGTATGGTGCTGACAAACCTAGAAACATAATTGGGGCGAACTGGGATTCGAACCCACAATCATAGGTTTCTGGGGTGCCCAAGGGACGCAACTCTGCACAGCGAATTGCCTTAGACAACTGGGCCACCTGTGCCCCCTGACATACCGGAAGTGACGTCATAACCGAAAGTGATGTCAGAACCGGAAGTGATGTCAGAACCGGTATTAAGGTCACAAAATCCAAGTTTTACAAGAAATGACATCATTAAGCAGAAATATGTTATAATAATTATCATTATCACGATCAAGATCAGCAAATATAACAGTAATTTTAGTGCAGATATCACATATGTGACTGGTTCTTGACACATTTCTTATTTTCAAGTCCTCAAGGGTAATTTCAGAGGAAATTATCTCAAGTTAGGATTAGAATCAGTAAATAATGGTTTCCAGAGGAGGATTACAGTCAATTACACAGGGAGCTATTAGAGGCAGATGCCACTGTAGTCCTATATCAAACTATAAAGGTGAGGTGAGCTAATAATTTAAATTTCAGAAACTGTTCAAATAATCTATTCTCAAGAACCTGAAGACTCAAAAAGCTTCAGTTTTTTATATTTTGCTCAGAATCTGTTAAAACAAATTTGCTGAAACTAGTGTAAGGTTGTACTGTTATAAAATCAACAAAATAAGTAAGTTGCTTGTTTTTTGTTACAGTTTGATGAAATGTAGACTTGACTTACATTTATTAATTAGTCTTCAATATTTATGCAAATATGTTTCGATATCAGGAAAGTTTAATGAGTGGGGGTCTTTGTTCACATTTTATACTGCTGCAGCAACATAACACTATTTTCCAGGTTTGCTGTATGCTGTAGGAGGTTATGATGGAGCCTCCCGTCAGTGTCTCAGTTCTGTGGAGTGCTACAACCCGCTGACTGATACATGGATGCACGTTGCTGAGATGTCATGTCGCCGCAGTGGAGCAGGTGAGCACTTGAAGGAAATTTGACATATTTGCAATAGTTATCCACTGTTAAAACTGATGTTATTATTATCTCCTGCCATGAAGCAGGATGGGGATATAGCAATGGGTGTGTATTTCTTCACTTATCAACTGGTCAACTGCTTTCTTTCATGTTTCTGGAATTTATACTTTTATTTATATTTTTCCATTCCATCCAGTCAAATTGAAATCTCCAGTGTATCCAATGATAACCAGTGCTCCCAATGACCTCTAAAAGTACTTGTCAGCTACAATAGCAATACGTTTTTTCCATTTGTCATAGCGACTGATTTACGACTACCATTGTCTGAAGTACATTTGACTCCAAAGGCTAATTACCCTGTAGCCATGTCTCCATAACTTAATTGTCATTACGTTTTAGGCGCTAATCCCCGTTGTTAATCCTCACCACCATTCATTGTATATTGACTGTCAGCCAACCTGGGCTGCTATATCACTTCCCGTTAATTACTGTTATTTATAGTATGACATTTATTGCCTTAATTGTTCATCCCCTGAATGTTGTTGTCTTTCCATTGTTGTTCATAACCATATATGTGCTACCATTACACAGTTACTACGGTGTTAGTAAAGCTTGGTATTCCGAGCATTTGTGTAAGGACGACCTCGAGCAGGATGTGCCGCTCGTAGGAAACGTCCTGAGGTTGAGCTGGAGCTCCACTCACCTCATGTATGCCTGAGCTGGAAGGTCCGCTCATCACTGTGTTTGTGTTGTCAGAGCAGATATACCCCTCATTGTGCAATTGTTGTTTATTGTTGACATCTTGTGCATAAAGCGTTCCGGGACAGTGATGTCAATTTTGTCCTTGATTCCCCCCAAGAGCTAATTCCCCGTCAGCATGCGCGTTGACACCTGGTGTTAGAATCCGGCTGGAGTAACTCTTGAGTTTACTCCCAATCCACTAACCTCTCTATATGCCTACCATCCTGAAGAACAATCATCAACTCAAGCCATGAAGAATAAAGAAACAAGATTGAAGAAAACAACAAGAATCTCTCTGATGCCAACTTTCCTGATGAAATTTCCCATTCAAGATTTTGTTCATACACAGGACAAAAGAAGTATACACGGCTATCCCACAGCCATCATCGTGGAGACCCTGCACAATATAGAAGTTGCCTCACAGGCACCTACAACATGGACACTGTGTACAAGATATCTCATTGGGACTAACTAATTTGTGTTTACTTACGTGGACTCAATCAAGGATATATATTGTGTGACTTTTGAATAGTGCAACCAGGTATGTTTAATCAAAGCCAGTATATTATTGCCAAAATGTGTCTTTCCAAAATTCAGTTTTGTATATGTGCAATATACTCCAATTTTACATCTTTAGTCACGCTAGATCTTTGAAGTTATTGTGTAGGGAATCTTTGAAATGTCTCCAGGCCACTCGTGACATATAGTTACAGCTAGGGCCCATACAAACCTAAGCTGTAGGGTTATCAAGTCACACCTTAAAGTTAGACTCGTAATTTCAAAAATCTAAACGACACAATTTGTCATTTGTTACAAGTTATTAATGTGCACAATTTGGTCAAACATTGAATGTATTGTCTAGGACTTTGAATTCAGATTAGGGATATTCTTGGGTAAGCCACCCCCACACATATGTTTATTGTATGTCAGTATTAAGTAATTAACAGCACAGCAGTATTCAGCATTTCAGAGTTTTAAGGATTATTATTTTCCTTGGGCATAGCACTCACAATATATGGGCAAGCTCCATTAAAGACATGGGAAGAGCACACATTGTACTCAAAAAGGCAAACGTACCCACAAGTACCGTGTTAGACTACTGGTTTCAAATTTCTTTATGCGTAATATTTGCTGAGATGTTTCATTTGTACTTTTTTATGACATTACTCATTATCATTATTAGCTACTGAGTCGCACCACCAAGCCAGACTCCTGAATTCAAAGAACCTTCAGTGATATATTTATTGAATCTGTGCAAAGTGGTAATTACCTTGTAGTGAAATTGCACATAACAAAGATCACTTTCAAACTGGCACTAAATCAAATTGGCAAGATGATGACTTTCATTGCATAGATATATTTGTTGCACAAGGATTTCAACGAAATCATGAATTCACATTTGCATGGTTGTTTTCGTTGGTGAAAAAGTTCAACATACGCGTTGACACATTTATTAATAATGTGTCAATGACTCAGATGAACAAGTCAAAGATGGCTTCTGTTGCCAGGGGCTTGCATCTTGCACTCAGTAGAGCATATGTGTCATAGAGTAACAGCTTAAAACAATAAGCCACTCCCCGTGATTTCCACTTAAGCATAATAACTGCTCCCTAAGCAGGGAGTTCTGGGAACCTCGGTCTGCCTGCTTCCACCATGAATGTAAACACTCAAGAAGAGTAAATGTGCATCTTGACTATCCCTCTAATACCTGGTTGTCTTGTTGATGATATGACTGTATGTAGTCTGGGGTTACCACATATATTGGCGACTAGGTCAATTTAGTGAGTTTGTCATGCCGGCGAGTTGTAACAACGATCTTGGTCAGACCACGTGCGTTCGCTCGGTATTCAAAACAACATGGCTACCTTTGGCAAAATAGATGAATATGATTCTCAGACTGATGACTGGAATGAATATGTCGAGAGACTTGGACAATATTTCGCAGCAAACGAAATTACAGATCAGGGTAGGAAGCGTGCTATTCTATTGAGTGTGATTGGTGCGAAGTCATACAAGTTAATACGGAACTTGTCTTCGCCACAGAAACCTGGCGATCATTCTTATGATGCTTTAGTACAGCTGATGAAGTCACATTTACACCCGAAACCCACTTTTATGATGGAAAGGAGGAGGTACAATATGCGTGATAGACAGCCTAATGAAACTGTATCAGCATATGTGGCTGAGTTACGTCGTTTGGCATCGACGTGTGAATATACTGATTTAGAGACTCAGTTAAGGGATCGTCTTGTGTGTGGTATCAACAATGAAGCAATGCAAAAAAGACTGTTAACTGAGAAAACATTGGACTTTGCTAAGGCATACCCCTTGTGTTTAGGAATGGAAATGGCTGCAAAGGAAGTGCATGATATTAAGGGGGGAGATCAGGTGCCAAAGCCAGTGCACAAGATTAGAGAGGATAACAGGAGAAATAATGCAGGCAGGAAGTGTGATCGCTGTGGGGGCTCAAATCATGTCAATGGTCAGTGCTATTACAAAAACACTGTGTGTAACAACTGTAATAAGGTTGGTCATATCCAGCGTGCTTGTCGCTCTCGCAGCGCCATGAATGATAGTTCTTCAGGTCGTGGTCACAGCCATGGTCGTGGTCGCGACAGGGGCCGTGGTCATGGTCGTGGTAACCATAACAACAACAACAGATCTTCCACTAATCATGCTAATCGTATTGACGATGTATCTTAGGAAGACGAGAACAATGAATATAGACTTTTCAAGGTAGAAACTTGACATGCTCAAAACGGATTGAGTGGTAAGCGACACAGAGTGGAGCCCAATCTCATTGAAGTGTTAGTTAACGGGAAAAAGCTAACTATGGAGATAGACACTGGCGCAGCAACTTCCATGATCAGTTCAAGTACTTTCCATTCAGTGTGGAAGGATGGTGATGATAGGCCCAAGTTAAGTGAGACCATGCCTATTCTTCGGTCCTACAACCAAGAGAGAATACTGATAGTAGACAGACATTCAAGTAAATTATGGAAATCAGTCGGCTACTCTTCCGCTGACGGTTGTGGAAGGTGATGGTGAGAACTTGCTTGGCAGAGATTGGCTTCAGACTAGATTGGGGAAAAAAATTTAATGTGAGAAATGAAGGATTACAAGACATTTTGAACTCTTATTCTGATGTGTTCCAAGATGATATAGGGGAATTCAAGGATCAAAAGGTCACTATTGAGATCACCTCAAATGTGCCAAGATTTTATAATCACAGGAATGTTGCTTACGCTCTTAGTCAGAAAGTTGACGATGAACTTGAACGCCTTGAAAAACAGGGTATTATCAAGCCAGTGCAGTATTCTGATTGGGCTGCTCCAATCGTACCAGTGGTTAAATCCAATGGGAACATACGAATTTGCGGAGACTACAAATTAACTGTCAACAAGGTTGCTTGTACTAATGTTTACCCCATTCCACGGATCGAAGATCTGTTCCCATCCTTGTCTGGTGGAAAGACTTTCACGAAACTTGATTTTAGTCCAGCCTACCAACAGTTAACCCTTGACGAGGAGTCGCAAAAGCTCACGACTATAAACACTCATCGTGGCCTCTATCAGTACCAGCGCTTAACCTATGGCATATCGGCAGCTCCAGCTGTATTCCAGCGAAAAATGGAGTGCTTGCTCAAAGACATTCCCTATGTCTGTGTTTACTTAGATGATATTCTTGTCACCGGGGCCTCTGAACAGGAACATTTGGAAAACATGAAGGAAGTCCTATCCAGACTTAGCAAGGCTGGTCTCAGATTGAATGCACAGAAGTGCAAAATTCATGGTCGGCTTAGTAGAGTATTTAGGTCACAAAATAGATGCGCAGGGTTTGCATCCCCTTGACGAAAAGCTGAAGGCTATAGTGTCGGCTCCAGCTCCACGCAATGTTGCTGAACTTAAATCCTTCCTTGGACTTGTGCAGTATTATCGGCGTTTCTTGCCTAATCTCGCCACTACCTTGGCGCCCTTGTATCGGCTTCTCAGGAAAGAAGTTACATGGTCATTGGAAGCTCAACAGGAAAAAGCTTTCAACATGGTGAAAGGACATTTGTCTTCTTGTGTTCTCTTGACGCATTATCATCCCCATAAGAAACTTGTATTGGCGTGTGATGCATCTCCCTATGGGGTAGGTGCCGTCCTCTCACATCAGTCTGATGGTGGTGTAGAGAAACCAACAGCATTCGCATCCAGGTCCCTGTCACAAGCAGAAAAGAATTACTCTCAATTGGATCGTGAAGCTCTAGCAATTAT